GAGAGAGAGAGAGAGAGAGAGAGAGAGAGAGAGAGAGAGAGAGAGAGAGAGAGAGAGAGAGAGAGAGAGAGAGAGAGAGAGAGAGAGAGAGAGAGAGAGAGAGAGAGAGAGAGAGAGAGAGAGAGAGAGAGAGAGAGAGAGAGAGAGAGAGAGAGAGAGAGAGAGAGAGAGAGAGAGAGAGAGAGAGAGAGAGAGAGAGAGAGAGAGAGAGAGAGAGAGAGAGAGAGAGAGAGAGAGAGAGAGAGAGAGAGAGAGAGAGAGAGAGAGAGAGAGCGAGAGAGAGAGAGAGAGAGAGAGAGCGAGAGAGAGAGAGCGAGAGAGAGATGTTGAGGTGCTGACTAGAACAAGCCTGATCCTCCCATACATTTCCTCATTCGTGATCATGGTCATAGACCGATAAGTTGAATGGATAAAGGCTTTTGAGTAAAGAGAAGAAAGCAGTGAAATTTGAGCACCAACATAATCTACTAGAAAACATATTTTTTTGCAATATTACGGATATGCAGACTGGGTACGCCATGAGCAAGCATACGATGCAGCTTCTAAATAGTGGCGAGGACAGACTGGATCCATGAACCAGTGACAAGGAGCAAAATCCAGGAACTAGGGCCGTGCCACATTCGAGTACCATACTCTACTCCTGGTACACAATGATTACTACATTATCAGATGATACAATCACCGGAGCGTCAACATTACTTCGATAATTCGTTCAACTCCTAACAAGCCTTCCTATACCATGAATGAGCTTTACCCAAGGATATGCCTACACTGCCATCCACCGACTGTCACCTCATAACTCTATTTATTTATTTCTCAACAACAAATGGGCATATTAGGCAAAAACCTGATGATGCAGCATCATGTTTCTCAGCTTCCATGGACAATTCAATGTGGAACATGGAAAACAATTCTGAACTGCATGCACCACAATCCCAGCATTGGGTGTACTACTACTACCTGTTGGGTGGCTGGTTAGTTGCAGAGGAAAGAGACACTGCCCTAACTTCTTGAGTATCTTGCGTCAACTTGCTTCTCTGGGCTTCTCCAGACACTGATTACAGAGTAAAGCACATATCAATATTCAACCGTGTGAGCTAGACCATCGTAGACTGTTAGCATCTTCTATTCACAATACAAGCTGACATTTTCATTTGATCTGCCCTCATGAATGGCATTCTAAGCTTGCAAGAGATTCTACAATCGAGTATTCCTATTGCTGAGTGCATTTGATTTCTCGAAGAGCACACTACAGTGTAATGAACTCGAGAAGGACAAGAACACACTGCCGTGCAATTATAGAGTTGATATAGATGTGACTGTCTGAGTATCTTACTAATAATGGAAAGTGCTCAGCTCACCCTGTACTGTGACTGACCTTGCTTGGACTGTGTGGATCTTGGTAAGCGGTCGGAAGCACCTCCAGACGCAGGCGGCGATGAACTCCCTGCTTGATCATGCGACGGCTTTCTCAACCGTGGAGGAGTTGGTGATTGGTATTGTCCCTGTTTGCTCATTACGTTCAAATCCTGGTAAACAGTCGATGCTGTAGGTACACTGCTGGAAGCGTTGTCTGCTACTGACCTGCGTACATCTGGCATGAGTGATTGGTATTGCTCCTTCTGACTTCCATCTCCCACTGTTTGATACACACTGGCAGTGTTTGCAGGCATTGGTGTAGAGTATGGTGTCCTGTTGTCCATGTTCTTTCGTTGAACGTCAGGAATGAGTGTTTCGTATTGCTCTATCCTGCTTGCTGGTGCGGCCTCTTCATACATGGATGTAGGCTTGGGTGACGTCATGCTCTTGGTAGGTACTCTCTCAGCCTGGGCAGGAGTTATACTTTGGTATTGCTCTGTCACGCCAGCAGGACCCAGCGGTTCGTACATATTGGTAGACGTTGGAGCAGCAACTTGTGATGTATCCTGTTCCTCCTTCTTGCCTAGTGGAGCCATCTCTTCGTATACGGATGCACCCACTAATGCTGGAGACACTGCAGCATCAACGGCATTCTGTTCCTTCTTCTTTTCCAATGGAGCCATCTCCTCGTACACATATGCGCCCACTAATGCTGGAGACACTGAAGCAGCAACTTGTGATGTATTCTGTTCCTCTTTCTTGCCTATTGGAGCCATCTCTTCGTACGCAGCTGCACCCATTAACGCTGAAGGATTTGAAGTTGTTTCGGTTGATGACGTCCCCCTCACTCCCGCCATAGGTGAGTAATATGGTGTATTCTTCTCAACAGATGCCGGACCTATATCATGATACAATATTGTTGTGGCGATTTTGTCACCTGCACTGCCACTGAAACAGAAAAGGAAATACACGTAGATGGATGGTGTACACTGGGCAAAACCTACCATTACAAATATGAACAAAAGAGAGATTTTCCTGAATTGGTTTATCCAAGAAAAGCTACAAGTCTGTCCTTACACAACAGCCCCCCCCCCCCCTCGCACATGAAAGCCCACGTACTTATTTTTCGATTTTTTCAGCTCACACAGCGAACATGCGGCCACTAATCGATCGTTCGAGTGCTCTGCGCTCCCATACATTTTTTGTGCCAAGGCAATAGTGGAATGAACATGGGTGAACACATTGTTTCCCCTACGGCCCATTGTCCTCCTCGTTGCTCACTATCATTCATTCTGGCTTTGGAAAATTTATTTTTCATTACTATCAGGTTCAGCCCCATTTCCTCTGTGCTGCACTGATGAGTCCACAAAGGACGAAACAGTTCTGTCCGCAGATTGAGTATTTCGCTCCTGCTCTTGTAGCAGTTGAGCACTCTTGTGTGGGGTAGTGCCTTTGCTGTTTGCGTTATGCAGAGCTAACTGACTTGTCAGTTTGGGCACTCTGGCAAGGTACGTTCGGGCCTGGTTTAAATCTGGCTTTGGAAAACTTATTTTTCATTGCTATCAGGTTCGGCCTCATTTCCTCTGTGCTGCACTGATGAGTCTACACAGGCCTAAACAGCTCTGTCCGCAGATAATAAATGTACTTATCTATTTTGCTCATCTAACTATCGTTATGACGAAGAGAAAGGCTGAATACATGCGCATGAGCACCAAGCACCTGCCGTCAACATTTATCGTACACATATAGCAATCCTTGATGCCAATGTAACCACCATCCAAATCATTTGGAACTTGAACCCAGCTCTAATGTAAAAGATGATCATTCGGTTTATGATTGTTTAGCGTAAAAATGTGAAGTGCAAGTGTAATGCATATTGCAGCAAAACCGGTTGACATTCTGTTGTGCAAATGTGTGTTTTGCTTGGGCAGGCTGGGAGTGACAAACAAGTTTCTATTTCTTACCTTCTGGTCTCTTGGGAGCCCGGTGAGAAGGTAGATTCCACCATCTCCAATGTTGGTTGATTAGACAGGGCATTTTTCATAGGTCGTCTACCTTCTTCTTCTTCTTCTTCCCTTACTGAAGGCATGGGGGACAGTACACAGGAGGAAATGTGACTGAAAAGTGCAATCTCCATTGTGTACCAACTACCAAGACATTAGTCTGCACAGGTGCCATCATGTGCATGTCTACAGTCTATGTCATGCCTGTGTTTAGAATTAGAACCTGTGTTTAGAATTAGAACCTGTGTTTAGAATTAAACCTGTGTTTAGAATTAGAACCTGTGTTTAGAATTAGAACCTGTGTTTAGAATTAGAACCTGTGTTTAGAATTAGAACCTGTGTTTAGAATTAGAACCTGTGTTTAGAATTAGAACCTGTGTTTAGAATTAGAACCTGTGTTTAGAATTAGAACCTGTGTTTAGAATTAGAACCTGTGTTTAGAATTAAACCTGTGTTTAGAATTAGAACCTGTGTTTAGAATTAGAACCTGTGTTTAGAATTAGAACCTGTGTTTAGAATTAGAACCTGTGTTTAGAATTAGAACCTGTGTTTAGAATTAGAACCTGTGTTTAGAATTAGAACCTGTGTTTAGAATTAGAACCTGGGTTTACTTGGTCCGGCTCATTGCAATTGTCGCTTATCTCCCACGCACTTTTTGACACGTAAAGCCCAGTTCAATCACGATATCTAACTTACTTTTGCTTGGGAGGTTGTGATGGCAAGATCAAAGGAGGCACCAAAGAAAAAGGATCGCGACTAGCGCTTTGAATCGCGATGTGTTCGACTTTTTGGGAAGTGGGAATCTGTCTGTGTGTCCAAAAAAGTCCAAGCGCAGCGACCCGAAGACCGGAACTGTGGTAGGGGCAACTGACATCCTGGAGAGCGTGACAGGCACGCGTGCACGGCAGAGGAGTATGAGCGTCATGCTGAAGAAGAAAGGTGTTTTTGATGCGATGCGCCCGGCCGACGTGTATGTTCCGTCGCTTTGGGGACCTAGCAGCAGCATTACAAGAGTCGTGGTCAGCGTATCCAGCGGAGCGTATGACAGCTGTCTGGAGAGGCCTGTATTCCTCATTCGAAGGCTTTGTTGAAACACACTGTGGCGACACACAGGTCACACTGCCCACGGTTCCTTCAAGCACCGAAGTGACAGCCACAACTGTTCCTTTCCCATTGCTGCCATACGAGAGGCTGAGAAAGCAAGAGATACTCTACCACTGTACCAGTCTACGCCAGCAGCTAGACACCAGCAAATGTCAGCTCATGTAACGGCGCGGCAGCTCGAGTGATGGAGAGTTGAATGAACTCTGGACCTGTAAGAGTGTGAGTGCAAGGACGCGCTCCTTCGCTGATTTGTTTCGTGCATTTTGCTTACCTTGCTTCCTTTCTTCGACTCGCTTCAACAGATTCAATCGCTGAAATTTTTTTCTTGTGGCGGAGAGTATTCATGTATCATGCTTCCTCACTATGCCTATTGGAAATTTCACAGAGCGGTAAAAAAACTCCTGTTCTTAGTGGCGATAGATAAGCGACAATTGCGATGAGCCGGACCAAGTAGAATTAGAACCTGTATTTAGAATTAAAACCTGTGTTTAGAATTAGAAGCTGGGTTGTGGCGCAATCTCGGTAGGCACTCACCAGTTGAATAATTCGACAGAACCACCTGGTCATAGTTGTCTCTAGCTTTGATTGAGGAGAAGCTACTTCTGATGCTTGGCGATGTGCTCTTCCCACCTGCCACTGCGGATTCATTTCCACCTCCGGTCCTACAAAGAGGAGAGGGGGGGGGGGGCAGAAAAAGTGAAACATTATTTTATAACAATGTTATCAATTTTTCACTACCAATTCGACATACGTGAAACTTCCTAAGCTGGCTTTGTTTCTAATCACAGCATGGATGACGGTAAGGAGGCCTGAGAGTTGGATTTCGAAGTGAAGATCTCATTTCTGTGTGCTGTGGCAATGCAGGATATGTCAAGCAGTTGTTAAAAGCTCTTGAAGCTCTCTGTACTAAAACTATTCATTTGCACAAGCCTAGTCTATGTAAGCAAAAGCGCATGCTGTAGCTAAGGTATTCTCATAAGTGTGCAAATGTATGGAGTACGGTTATTCATTGTTCCAACCAATGTTTAATGTTCTAGCACAGTTTTTTCACTAAGAAGTAATAGTTTTCTTCTTTGGGTAAAAGGGAGATTAAGTGGAAGGATAACATAATTATATCTTACATACCCCCCCCCCCTCCCAGGCATAGTGGGATGCCGGATGGTCTAAGACCAGGTGCAAGTCCTGATTGGAAGCGGAAGAATTTTTCCAGCCGTGTTGCGACCCACTGTTATTTGGGAACTCCCTTAGTTGTCGTCACCCGTCCTCTATAGTTTTACCTCGTTCTGGCGCCCATTTCCTTAAATCCCCTCTCTTCAGTTTATCTGTGGAATGGAACAAACTTCCAGAACACATCCGCTGCGTTCAGTCCTCTGTCAATTTTCGCATTGCTCTAAAGGCTCATTACTCTCAGCATAGATATTCTCTGACTGGAATTCCGAACTTTTCCGTTTGAGAATTTTTTTTCCTTGAAATTAATCCTTGCTGGGTTTTTTCATCTAAATGTCCCGCTATTATCTGCAGAGGTGATTTCTTCCCTCGTCGATTTCTTTCCTGCTTTTATACCTCGATATTTAGGTACTTGTTTCCCCATCGCGCGAAATCACGCGACACCTGTACATTTTCGATCTGCGGGATGAAGATGACGACGTCCATGCATCAGGTATCAGGGGGTAGTAAGATACTGGCATATTACTACTCCACGCCTCAAATCGTGCTGTCAAGCGTATGCGGGGGAGTGTAGCATGCCATCCCTTACACTTTCCAGCTCAGGGTTACCCTCGCTACCAATGGACGAAATTTCAGGGTCACAGCTTGCGCAACGGCTTTGTCCTGTGCGAATGGCCACTCGACATACTCAGCACAAATTTTCTATTGCATGCATGCACAAAATGTTCAACTTTCGTATTTTTGGCGACTTTACCACCGTCGTGGAGGCTGGTTGGTGAGGAGCAGGTAGCCATCCCTTGTGGAATCAAACACATGGTTCCACAGTGTGGCTGATTCCGCAAGAGCCAGGTCCGTACGAGGAACATTCGCTTTGTCTTTTGCCATCGAAGTAAGTCACTTTTCTTGTTCTCAGTGTTTTTTTACGTTCAACGTTTCCGAGATTTTTGAATTATTCACTTTTCATTCTTTCATACTTTATTTCTTCATGTTCACTGCCTCACTTGCCTTCTGATCTGGAGAATGTGACGGAGGTGACTGTTGGTTACTGCCTGGTATAACGGTTGTCGTGCTGTTGCTGTATTTCCGTCCTGCTCGCGACGTTGTAGATCACAAACAATTTGAAATCACATGAAGTGTACTTACCGTCGTGCGTGCGGTATTAGGAAACACTGTGCAGATTAGATCGTCGCAATGTATCTATATGTGTGTCTGGTCATCCTGTGCCACGCAAGAACTCCAACCAGACGCATTCGTCCTCGGCCCTGGCCCTGCTGATCGATTGTCCACTCGTCTTTCCTTGAAGAACGATCCATCAAAAAAAATCGAGCTCGAGGACTTTTTGCAAAAAAACGGCTGAAAAAAGGAAGAAAAAAGGGTGCTCAGAATGAGATTCGAGTGCACAACCATGGTCCCAGCAGTTTATGTGGATGTCGCTCATAGATGCGCGATTTCGCGCAATGAGTTCTTCCCATGCTTCATCTTCCACTCTCCTCTCCCCATTTCCCCATTTTTCTTGCGATATTTATGTGGGAGACTTCCGTGATAAGCATCCATTTGCCTTTGGAGAATCCTTTTAAATAAATACAATATACAAACTCGTGGCCTGGCACGAGGGAAGCATGGATGCAGTGAATGGGATATTCGGTCTTTGACCACTTTGGTGGATCTGGTCTCCTCACCTCCCACCACTTTAGGAGCTGCATCTGTGCCTTGATGTTTGAATGGTGGTGGCGTTCTTACGGATGCGGAAACTCGGCCTCTAGCCGACTCTGACTTGAGCTGCGAATTTTTTTCCACCCCCCCCCCCCACATACACACATGCACACGTACACACATGTACACACACCAAATACACACACACAAACATCACACACACACACACACACACACACACACACACACACACACACACACACACACACACACACACACACACACACACACACACACACACACACAAACAAACACACATATACCTTCTCCTGATCAGGACAATCAGAATGATGATAATGACCAACACCAGCAGTACTCCACCAACACCTGCTCCTACTCCTATTGCCAATGTGTTTCCTGCACACAGAACAGGAGAAAGCAAGTGCAAGTAGCAGAGATTTTCTTGGCATGGTATGATGAAACAAGTCAAAATTCAATGCTCATAAGTAAAGGAAAGACTCAAATTTATGCCGCCTTAAAATTTAGTTTTTGGACAAGTATGCAGAAAACAAGTCCCAATTCAATGCTCATAAATTATATCATCATAAGAATGATATCCAACAATCACTATTTCATGGGAGAAATGATCAGATTTCTCACCTGAACTTGCAGCAGGCCCCACTACTCCTACGGATGTTTGAACTTCCATTGTGGAGGTTGATGCTGGAAGAGATGATGCTGAGGATGAAGTTGATGCTGATCCAGTTGACTGTGTTTGAGCTGTTCGACCTTGTGTTCCTGTGCCGGGTCGTGATGTTTGAGCTGTAGCTGTGCGTGGCAGAATAGTCCTCAGTGCTTGCGTTGCTCGTGTTGTGGACACTTGCATAGTTGATACCTGTGTTGTGAGAGCTAGAGTTGTTGGTGCCTGGGTCGTGGATGCTCGAGTTGTTGGTGCCAGGGTTGTGGATAGTTGCGTTGTCATTCCTCCTGCTGTTGTTTGTCTTTGCGTGGTCTGTGCCACTGTGGTAGCAGCTTGTGATGTGGGAGGTGATGTGGTTGATACCTGGGTTGTCTGTGCTGTTGCCATTGCCGTTGCTGTTGGTGTAGTTTGTTGTGTGGTTGATTGTGTTGTTGCCGCTACAGTGGGAGAGGATATATCTGAAGCAACAATAATAACGATAATGTCAGTGGCAGCGGTAAGAGCGAAAAAATTCAGCAATGGCAGAATCTATACATCATGCAATCTAATTGTGTGAATGCAACACAGTGCTGCAGGTTTAGCAAACTGGTTCGTCTACGACCCTTAAAATAGCAATAGAGTCTTTATTGCCGCAGAGGACACATTCCTCTGTTCTAAAACTCCCATGGGACATTGTACACTCCGGCTTGTGTGGTATTGCTGTTACCGTACATTGTACACTCCGGCTGGTGTGGTATGCTGTTACCATACCGCATTTCTGAGCGCAAAGGACCCATTAGCTTTGTGATAAAACTTTAGAATCAATCAAATAATCTGAACCCTTTTCTTACAATGTGTAAAGTAAATATGTGTTTATCGGCTACTGGGAACATAATTGATCCATCCTTTCATGCTGGCTACACCTGTTTTTTCTTAGACATCAAAATGAGAGCCACTGGCACATCCGGTACTTACCATTACATATTGGCACTGCACCTGTCCAATTACCACTCAGTTGACATGTTATGCTACTTCTGTTCACTGCTGGTTGGCTTCCTTTGATTACCAAGCTCTGCGGGCACTCATACATCATGACACTGCCCAGGCTGGAACTTCCACTTGATGACAATGATGTGGCGTACATTTCCCCAGGCACTGACAATGTTTGATTCTGTGGTGTTCCACAATCAATAACTGGAGCGATGGAGAAAAATTCAGTAAAGCTTAGTCTTAAAAGACAATGCGACAAAAAGAACAATCGATGCCGACATAATACCATGAAACAATCGTGCAGTGAAAAATGAATTAAAAAAAGTGATCCATAAACGTTTTTCCTTCGATGGTCATAAGTGAACCTACATGATTGGTGACTTACAGGTGAATAAACAATATTATACGTGCTCAAATAAAGCTACAATGTCATGAATGGAGGTTACAACAAACTGCAATAGCAGCAAGGGTCACAGCTTAGTCTTAGTCTCATAAACTAATCCCAAGTCAAGGTTGACAACCCGGTTTAGAGTGTGGTAACAGGTAAAGTTGTACCTGGCCAACCCATGATCCTAGAAAAACCTATTACATGATCCTAGAGTCAATCCTAAAGCACACACTGCTATGGATAACAACTCAACTTCACCCGCTGCACTGTAGATGACAATACGTGTGCTGCAATATCAATCACTGATGCCGGCACATGTATGTGGACGTTGACACAAGTTCACAATGGCAGGACACTTCGTATCATTGTTACTGGGAGTTTCATGAGCACTTTCGCAAAGTCAACTGCAACTCAGCTTTGTGTACGTGAATGGCTCTATGCAGGACCTCAATATTTGAGACCTTACCCTGACAAATAGGATCAGACGATGACCAACTGCCTGATTCCAAGCAAGTAAGGTTGATACTAGTTGTTGGTGGATCTGGAGGCAGTGCTGACAGGAATGATACCCGGTATCCACTCACACATTGTACTGTGACAGAGCTACCCACACGCCTTGAGAACATTGCTGGTGCATAGGCACCATTGGACAGCGGACGGAGAATTGAACATAGCACTAAAACAAAGCAGGAAGAAGAAGAATCGGTTAGTTTAAAACAAAATGCAGGCCGTGAGTGCGGTATGCTGGCTTTGACCAAGCTGCCCTACATCATCTCACGGTGAGCCCAGATCAGCAATGGACAAGCCGCAAGCCAGTGGCGCAAGTCGGAGCCGCGGCTACTACAGTAGCGGTGGCATATATTCTTTTCTTATCCTGCTTCTATTAAAGCATCGGTTCTGTCCATCGAAGTGCGACTTCAGGAATACTACCGCTTTGTGGTATGCATGGCATCTTGAGTAGGGTATGAATGTGACCTTAGCTCTAGGCGCCTTGTACCAATACCATGAAGCATACACTGACAAACCCAATTCCTGCACTTTGGTTGAGGAAGGATAGTTGAGCAGTGTTCACCAACTGGTTTGGGGAAGATGGCTCTGCTTTCTTTAATAGCTCGTGCGAAAGTACATGTAGGTATAAAATACAATCTAATTTCACCGTTCGCGTGAGACTCAACTGGAGGCCGAGTTTTTCGCATCCGTAGGAATGCCAACACATCCTCTATGGATTAGGGCACCGATGCAGCTCCTAAAGCGGTGAGTAACTTTTAAAAAATCAGACCCACCACACAGTGGTATAATTATATGCATTGAAAATAATGAGGCTTGAAACATTCTCAACTTCAACCAGAAAACACCTTGTTTGAACTAAGTATCATAAATGAATAGAGGAACATTTGAAGAGCTGATATGCACAACCCGATAAGTGCCAAATTGGAGAACATTTTCAGCGCAGTGTAATCAAAAGGTCTAGGGGCACCAACAGACCAAATTTCACATTCAAAATCTGACTAGAACCATTTCAGAACAGATTTAGATACAACTGCACATAGAATGAATCCTTTTGTGGCCATTATCCGAAAAGCAACAAAATGGATTTAGTGGGTTTTGCATTCCAGTTCTTCATTTCTTTTCACTCTCAACAAGAGATGATTTACTTACATGGCTGACAGCAATTTCCTTGAAACTCCGCACATGACACAACCACGGATTCCCGACCAAGACATCTAAAATTCTTGTAACACGTGATATTCACATGACTTCCATTGAGTTGAGACAAATTTCCAGAATTGCTGTTAAGACGGGGCAGTGATGCAGCAGCACATCCGCCTAAATAGGAGCAAAGATAACATACAATACCAAGGCATTCACAACTCAGCAGTACATTAATTTTACAATCAGGCGAATCGGAAACAGTTTTAGGATCATAGCTATCCCAAGAACAGGACACATCATCAGTTCACAAAGGACTTGTGCTAACCTAATAAATAAAAACATTCATAGTAACACTATTTTCCAACCAGCAGTTTACTCATATCTCTAGACACAAGGGGGATGTGTTACAAAGTCCATGAAAGACTCTGCTTGACTGAAGTGCTGGATAATCCCAGGAATCTAACTTACTAGGCAGTGTTGGTGGTTCATTACTACAGCCAAAACCAGAGCCACCAGCTATTGGGCTGCTTTCATTTCTACATTGTGCTGTCATGTTCCTGCCAGTCACTGGACACTGGAACAGTATGTCAAAACTATATCCTTGAGTTCCATTGCTCCGGCATGATGTAACTGCAGAGAACAAAATACAGATCAGGCCGAAGAAGTCCTTTCAAGTGTTTCGGGTAACCCGACCGACTGATGTTTTGAGCGCCGACCGATGTTTTTTGTCTGCATTCATGCATGCACACCATGCGTATGTACATGTAGTGTGCGTGCTCGGACTTCGCGTTGTGCCAAGCCCAGGCCAAGGCTCTTCCTTCCTAGCTCTGGCTAGATATTTCAGTCCTTTTGTTTCGAGATGACTCGATTGAGTCGGATTTGTTGCAGGGTGGTTCTATTCTCAGGGGCGTAGGAGGGGTTTTGGAAGTTGGAGGGGGGTGCGGGGACCTCCCCCGGGAAAATTTTGTAAAAAAGACACAAAATCCTGCGTTCTTGGAACTTCTGGCACACTTCTCGCGCAGTGTACTGTGCAGTCGAGTCGAGTATAGTACTCAATACGACTGCAGATGCATAACAGATCTACGAGTCTAGAAAAAGGTCAAAGTCTGATGCGCATATGCATATCGATGGATCCTGATTTTTTTATTACGTTTATCACTCTCCCCTCACGTGACCGCGGACTCCTGCATATACGCTCACACAATAACCACACAACTGTTTGGGGATAGCGCGCTTCTTGTATTATGCCAAACTTGACACGCTGAGTCCAGCTTGACTCAGCTGAGTCCCTAACTGCTATTTACTGCTCTAACATGAAGCCGTGCCTGGAAGAAGGGAAAGAGCGAAAAAAGAAAAAAATTCTGGCCCTCTGCAAGCAATAGCAAGTAATGAGTGCGTGCTGGCTGTGTACAGTCGCACAACCATGAAGTCGACCGGATGATGGTGAGTGTCCGGCACACATCTTGCTCTGCTGCTCCACCTGTGCATACCTGATACGGTGGTGCGCTTACAGGCGGGCTGCCTGGCCCCCATATGCCTCCCCGATGCGCCACGGGGTGCAGTCGAAGCACCTGTATCACTTCGGTGATCCAAATGCGAATGCAGCCTTGCCGGTCGCCCGCCGGCCTGCCGCCTACGCGACCAGCCTGAGACTGGCCCTGCCGCATTTGGCGCTTCTAAACGCTGCGATCCGGTAGACAGCTCACTGGGGTGCCAAATACGTGACTGGTTTGAGGACAGTTCCGTACTGCACGGCAGGGCGCTCAGCTCGGTTGCACGCCGTAGCGGCGTGAGCTGGGCGCGGTGAGGGTTGGTGATAACTACAGTTTCCTCCTTCCTCCTCCGGAAACTTCCATTTATCACTCTCCCCTCACGTGACCTGCATATACGCTCACACAACAACCACACAACTGTTTGGGGATAGCTCGCTTCTTGTTTTAGGCCAAACTTGACACGCTGAGTCCAGCTTGACTCAGCTGAGTCCCTAACTGCTATTTACTGCTCTAACATGAAGCTGTGCCTCCCAAAAATAATGGGGGTGGCCTCGCCGCACGCTATCCCCTATTATTGGTCCCGTCGGTCTCTGTGCTGTTCGCTGTAGACCTGTGATGGCATGCCTGATTCGGTATACAATGACTGAAACCGGTAGCTAAAGACCACCGTGACTAGCGACCAGTCTGGTACTACCGACCACTTCGCCGGGCACGGACGGTCTCACATTCATAATGGTTGTGCGGTGCAAGCCTGCAGCCAAGGACCACCTGCCACTAAGGACCGCTTTCTCTGGCCCCAAGGGTGGTCGTTAGCCACAGGCTCAACCGCACACGTATCTCTTGCGGGTCAACCCTGACCACCTTCCGGCGGCCTGGAGCTGCTGTCCAGGCACCTTCCTGGCCGCCAGATCCTGTGTCAGCTTGAGGGTGTCTACCAAGGGCATTGCCATGAAGGACTGCTAGGCTTTCCCCTGGTTGGTAGCTCCTGCTGGTGCTGGGCACTACCGAATACGCTGTCGACTTGTCAGCTTCCGCGGGTAGTGTTCGCACGGGGGGGGGGGGGGGGGGGGGGATACCTGGGTGCCCCCAGCCGGGCAGACAACAGCCAAAGGGCTGTCATGTTGGATACAAGTGTGACTAGCTACCCGCCTGGTACTACGGACCCCTTCGCTGGGCACGGACGGTCTCACATTCATAGTTTGCGGTGCAAGCCTCTAACTAAGGACCACCTGCCCTCAAGACCGCTTTCTCTGGCCCCAAGGGGTGGCCGTTTAGTCACAGGCTCCACCACACATGCATCTCTTGCGGGTCAACCCTGACCACCTTCCGGCGACCTGGAGCTGCCGTACAGACCCCTTCCTGGCGGCCAGATCCTGTGTCAGCTTGAGGGGGTCTACCAAGGGAATTGCCATGAAGGACTGCTAGGCTTTCCCCTGATTGGTAGGTCCTGCTGGTGCTGGGCACTACTGAATACGCCGTCAACTTGTCCGCTTCCACGGGTGGTGTTCGTACGAGGGGGATACCTGGGTGCCCCCAGCCGAGCAGACAACCGAGCCAAATGGTTGTCGCGTTGTATACAATTATTAGTTTCTCAGTGATTCCTGTATTTTGCCTCCTAGGTCGATGACGGCTTCCCGCCCGCCGATCGTCCAAAAAATATGGGGTGAGGCCCCTATCCTGCAACAGGCAATAAATGTGGCTGGGGCCAGGAGTATGCGCTAGAGGCCAGTCAGGACCTGCTGGGTGCCCGAGCTACGGTGCCAACAAGCAAATGCAAACAAGCAAGCTCGAAAGGAGATCTTCGGTTGCACTCCCCATCTCAGCTGCAAACAAACCACGCTCAGAGGGAGAGCTGTCCCTGCATTTTTCAAGCCTAGCTGTAAATATACAAAGCTCCAAGGGGAGCTGCCCCTGCATTTTGCAAACATAGCTGTAAACTTCCAAGGCTCCAAGGGGAGCTGCCCCTGCATATTGCAAACCTAGCTGTAAACCAACAAAGCTCAAAGGGAAGCGGTCCCTGCATTTTGCAAACATAGTTGTAAGCATCCGAGGCTCAAAGGGGGGGGGGGAGGGGGGGGGGGCTGACCCTGCATTTGCAAACATAGCTGTAAACATCCAACTTCCAAAGCTCCAACGGGAGCTGCCCCTGCAGTTTGCAAGCATAGCTGTAAACATCCAAAGCTCCAAAGGGGAGCTACCCCTGCGTTTTGCAAACCTAGCAGGAAACCTACGAAGCTCAAGGGGGAGCTGCCCTGCATTTTGCAAACATAGTTGTAAACCGTGCGCTCCAAGGGGAGCTGCCCCTGCATTTGCAAATATAGCTGTAAACATCCAAAGTTCCAAGGGGAGCTGCCCCTGCATTTTGCAAACGTGACCGTAAACATACCCAGCTCCAAGCCCTTTTTTCTTCTTTTTTCCCGGAAACATAGCTGTAAACATACCGCGCACTAAGGGGAGCTGCCCCTGCTTTCTGCAAGCATCGCTGTAAACGATTACATACAAACGAGGCAACAAGGCTACTTTGCCCCTACTTTTTGCAAACATAGCTGTACCAGGCCCTAAGGGGAGCTGCCCCTGAATTTTGCAAGCATAGCTGTGAATATACAAAGCTCAAAGGGGAGCGGCCCCTGCGTTTTGCAAACATAGCCACAGCGCCGGGCATAACGCCACCCAGGCGAGGCGCGCTGCCCCTGCCTTGACCAATGCCGCCGCAAACAACACGCGCAAAGGGGCGCCGCCCCTGAATTTGCTCGCATAGCCGCCATATCAGACCGCTGGGTCAGCCATATCAGACCGCTGGGTCAGCCGCCATATCGGACCGCCGGGTCAACTTGCGGATGGGCTAGGGGCGCTGCCCCTGCCTCTGCCACAAACAGAGCTCAAAAGGGAACCACCCCTGCATTTGCTCGCACAGCCGCCGTATCAGGCCGCCGGGTATTCCGCCGCACGGGCGATTACGAAGGGGAATTGCCCCTGCCTCCACTAGTACAACTGAATAACCAGCATGGGCCACTCGCCCTGCCCGCCGGGTGCGCATAATGTGTGAGTGTGTGTGTGTGTGTAACGCACATACGTGTGTCTGCAATATGCCCTGCGCGGTCGTGACGGATTAATCCATCGCACCTCGGGTAGAGTGTTAATTACTGAAAGTAAGACAAGGTCGCCAGCCCGCCAAAACCGGCACTTACTGCCGGCTCGCCGTGGTATCTAAACAACAATGGCAACAGCGACGACAACCGCAAGGAAAAAGATAACAGCTCGCCATGTCCAAACAAAGCCCCAAAACAGCAAAGTAGACCCCATATGCTGAGACTTGGTGTAATGCCACCTAGTACGAGAGTAGGAAGGGGAGGGGAGCGACAGCACTTAGAGGCGAAGCAGGGTGAGGGATGTAGGAGAGGAGGATAAAGAGAGAGAGAGAGAGAGAGAGAGAGAGAGAGAGAGGGTATGTGTGTGTATGTATGTATGTATGTGTGTATGTATGTATGTATGTATGTATGTATGTATGCATGTATGTATGCGTGTGCGTGTGTGTGTGTGTGTGTGCACGCGTGCTGAGAGAGATAGACTACACAGCGAATGAAAAAGGAGGCACGCATTGGTTGAGAAGAAGTTCAGCCGGTTTGCTGCCATGGGTAGTTGCTCCCACATAGCATGAGTTAAGCCGAGTCCAGCAGCTGGATTAGGGAGCCGATGAGAGGAAATGGACTAATCGTCCACGTGAAAGACGTCCGCAGCGGAGTTGTCCGTGGCCGTAATATGGGTAGTCAACGAGATAAAGCCTTGTGTTCTGCTACCATGCGGGGGCTGACGTGGGCTAGTTCCGTCACGGTTGGATTTCGGCAAGTCCCGGATTCCAGACTGCTCCAACTACCTTTTTGTCGCCGTGCAGTATGGATTTCTTGTCGGACTACTTAGGGCCCCAGAGGGCGTAAGCTCGTGTTGCAAGGCGCGATGGTGCCGGAAGTCTGCCGGGCCTCGACCCAGTAGATTAGAGATTAAGTTTTTCTCTTGCCAGAAGAGGAGCCGCCAATGACAATTTCACTCAGTGACTGCCATCGGATTGATCGATTCTAACACGTTTGGCTGCTGGCTGCGTGTGGGCAGGACAGGAAGGAAGCATTGTGGCCAGCTCGA